TTTATGTATATGTCTCTTTAACACTATCTATTTATCCATCTGTCTATCTTTTTGTCTATGATATGTACCTTTGTTGCTCGTTGTGTCACATTCCTTCCCGGAAGAGGACCGGAAGTGAGCGAGCACCCTTCATATTGGTAGCAGAGAGAGAGAGAGTGAGGGGGAGAGAATTATTGGTTCAGTGTGAAAGTGCCTTGATATAATATTAAGTATTGATCACGTGTGCGTCTATAACTTCAGCTTATCACGAACTTCTTGGAGAGGAGCGCTACTTTTGGTACTGAGTCTTTGACCTGTTGCCCTTACTGATACCATCCCTCTACAGATCTGGGATTCGGTGCGGCACCGAGTTGATCTGTCTTGCTCTCCAATATTTTCGTAATCATGATTGTTTTTGTTTTATTTAGATGAAATACCTTATCCCTCTGAAGAGCTTTGGGTGGCCATAGCTGTAACAAACAGATGGAGTTAAGCAGGTCTTGCATATTGTCTTACCTAAGCCATTGTCTCTTCTTTCCGTTGTTTTCCGGCAAGGAAGCAGTATAGTATAGGAAGTGGGGGGATTTCCAGCTCCTCTCCCCTATTCCTTGTAGTTGCTTCCTACTGCACTCAAGGAATACTGGTTTTAAATATGTTTCTCGATCTTCATCAGAAATAGTAATAATAATAATAATACTTTCTGACTGAACGTGATTTTTTTTTATTATGATTATTATAAAATTACGTCCATTCTATCATTGGAGTTGTTTTTGTTAAAAGTTTATGAAATTATTATTATTATTATTATTACTATTATTATTATTTGCATTTGAATAAGTCTCCCCTAATTGGTACTAAATCAAATTCCTTCTGAAAATCCAAGAATATTCAGTCTTCCCAACCCTCTCTTTCTTGTAAGATAAGGCTTACCTCATTTTAATATTCTAGTAAGTTTGTTATCATAGACCTGCCCTCTTTGAAGCCATTTTGTCTAACTGACGAAAAGTTGAAGGACTCTATTAATGAGGAAAAGTATACTATCTCAATAGTTTCTCCCTAAGTTTGCAAACTATGCTAATCAGCTAAACAGAACTATAGTTTAGAACTGTCTTTTTCCATCCCTCTTTCGCTCCCTTTCAACATCATGGATTCTCTCCAGGTTTCAGCAGCTTTGGGAGTAATATGCATGGTTTTACTGGTAATGATTCAGCACAAGTCTCAAGTACATAAGGAGATATATAAATCAAGCTTCTTAGCTTTATGAGCCTCTCTAAGTCCATCAGCGTTTACATATCTTTGTAACTGAAAAAATGATGTTCTCTAATACCGGGCCATGATCTCTCATATCTACAATATGAAGGTGTGGAGTTTTTTCTAGTGAAAATTCTGACTGAAACCTCCTATTCAATACGTCGCAGATCTCTTCTTCTGGTAAACTATTGCTTCCGTTTGCCTTTTGCAACATTTAAAGTTTACTTTTGTGACCATTGGCTCCCTCTGACAAAATTGTGAAAAAGTTTGGAATTTTCCTTAGCTTTCCTGGTAATATCTAGTATCTCATTTTCCCTTTTGCGTTTCTGCTTTTACTTAGGTGTTCATTTCTCGCGGGTTTGTAATTTGGCCAGATATTTACACTTTTTTCTTCCTATATCAATTCCAGTTCTTGTTTCTCCACTCCCTTTCCCCCCTTACATTCATTATTGAACCTTATCTTTTGGGCATTTATAAGTCCTATATTTGTAGGTGGTGCACAGCAGCTAACTATACTCAGGCTACTGTTTTGTTTTAATACAAGATAAGTATGAGATTGCTATATTCGTGCTTTTGTTAACTATTGCCGTCATAATTTAAATTATGTGAAATGTATATTAAACTGCTGCCAAGGAGCTCGTGCTCAGCAGGCTAGTGCCTCTGAATATAAAGTACTTATTTATTACTGTATATATACTGAATATTTGGGAATAAAATCTATGACTATGACTCTATATTCTTCACAAAAAATATTTTACATATCCTGTACATATTTGTTGTTTAATATGGTCCCAGTCATATTCCTGCAAAATTATTGTTGATTTTTTTTTTTAATCTTCTGGATTTAGATAATTTAGCATTCCTGGGGGTTTAAGTATTTTGGTGGAACTAATTAAATGTTTTCTAAGTGGAATCTTAGCCAAAGTATATTATTTAATGTTATAGGATTCCAACTGGACTGGAATTCACCCCAGAAATAACACAAGGAGGGGATCTTTTTATGATACTCATTCTGTATTTTAATTTAATCAACTTCTTGAATCCTTTGCTCTGCCAAACACACAGTGTACAACTGTATACTAAGTGGATATTAATATGCATTCAGGCATTACATACAGTCCGTCCTAGATCATCTTGATGAAATAACAAAGAAACTTGTCTGAATTTTGTCTGTTCTTAAAGCTAAGTCTTTTACCCCTTCCACTCACCAGACCACATTTAGTTCAGATGATCGTGAAATTCAGGAATCCCGTAGCCACAAATATTTAAA